CTGTCTTTCTGTATTTTTTGTTATTCAGGCTCAGTCAATTGTCATAGAATCTTTTGTTTCCGTTCTGTTTCTCTTAAGTTAAAATAATTTTTCAGCAATTTATACTAGCTCTATAAATAATATTTCAGCATTTTAGTTTAGCTCTATAAATAATATTACTAAGTGAACATTGTCCAAGGAACAGTTATTATTATTTACAATTACATTTTATATATATTTCTTCTCTTGCTTCATTTGTGTTGTTAATTTTGCAATTGTTTGATTATCCAAAAATTTATTATGATGGAATATTATTGTTTTATTAGTATCTCCAGAGTATGTGTGTATATATATATATATATATATATATATATATATATATATATATATATATATATATATGTATATAACAGAATTTTCCATAAGTGATAATAATATACCTTGATCTACTCTGTTGCAGATTTTAAGGTTTGTCTTGTAGCTTTCTATTTATTGATTTTTCACAAACCAAGTCTGAACTCAACATTAAAATAAATATGTTTACTGTTATATTTGTCTATATATACTTTTTAAAAGATTCATCATTGACTTTCTCCAGTTTCATTTAACAGTCATTTGCATACAAGAAAGAAAATTTTAAAAGTAAATAGCATTTACATTAAGCCAATGAAAAACTACACTCTATAGTAACAAATGTGTGCAATTACAATGATGAAAATGTGCTACAATTGCTAAAAATATATTGTTTGCTATACTTGAATTTTCTGGACTGTTGATTGATCACTATAACTCTCAACAATTTTCTTGATCTGAAAGATGATTCATCAATATTTATTAATATTGAATGATTTCTAATTTCTTCTCGTTTTTCTCTTTCTAATAAAAATCATTCATATTTGAAATGACAAATTACCTACAAGATAGAAGCTCAAAGAAGACTGTTAGATTTAGAACATAGGCAAATTTCTTTTATTCTTGTTATTATGCCCGTAATCAAAAGTGTATCAATATCTGAATGATCATTCTCTGACAATGTGCTTTACTTAGGTGCAATAATCATGGTTGTTTTAATTTCACTTGGTCTACCTTGTAAGATGTTGGTTGAAGAATATTCCTCTTTTGCATTATCCTATGATTTTCTTCTGGAAAAAACACCTCGGGGAACATATTATCTTATAGTTTAACATCTGCAGATTTAATGCTCAGATATCTGTATTTTATAAGTGATTTGATATATTTTTGTTTTTTAAATATAAATTACTTGGAAATTACTTCTTAAATTTCTTACTTTCATCTGATAGTATCCTCAGTGAATTAGAATAAATAGCCTGTTAAAGGATTATGCTAATTTTCTAACATTTTTGAAGTCATAATAGAAATATTAGTAAAAATGAGAATCATTGCAGTTTGTAAAACTTTTGGAACATTGCCTGACAATGGATTTACCTTTAGTGAAAAATTGTTTCTGTTTAATTTCAACATTTTGGTTTGTCTTTTTTTTTTTCTTGTTTTTTTTTTTTTTTCTTTCTTGTTTTTTTTTTTTTTTTTTTCTTTCTTGTTTTTTTTTTTTTTTTTTTCTTGTTTTTTTTTTTTTTTTGTTTGTTTTTTTTTTTTTTTCTAAATGTTTCTTTTTGCTAATCACTTATAGATGTTGATGCTTTCTGATTTTTCTTTCATTTAATTATTTTTTTATTTGTGAAGATTCTTTTCAATACACAACTGAAATATCATTTAATTTCTTTATATTTATAATTTAAAAAGAACTTACAAAACAATTATCTTAAAATTAGTGTGACTTCTATTATCACCTTTTAAAATGTTTCCCTGGCAAAAAAAAACCCCACACTGTTCATGCCTAGCCTGCTCAGCCACTATAGTTCATAGGAATCACTTCTTCCACCTATTCCAGAGTGAAAAATCTGATTGCAACAGATATCTTTTTGTCGCTACCCATAATCAGTACAAGTGTGTCCTCAAAGAAGCAAAGCTACTATTTGCTGATATAATGAGACACCGTATAACTTCTCACAGGTTTAGTTCTGGATATTAGTGGCAGCTTTGCAAGAGTGTTTTGAACAATAGCAAAGTCCATCCCTGCTTCAATCAATTTCAAGTATTGACATCAACTGCAGATAAGGTAGAGTGCTTTGCCTGAAAGTTCTCTTCTGACTTCACTCTCAACTCATCTGAAGTACCTCTGCCAAATTTCCCCCCTAGACATACACCATAATCTCATTATTGGTTTCTGACATTATTTCAAAATTAGACCCCCACAATCAGAGATGTGACTGGAGCCCTGATGTCATCCTAAAGAAATGTTCCTGAACTGGCTCCTGTTCTCTCCAGACTTTACAACAAATGTCTCACTGCTTCCTGCTTTCCAGCTTTTTGGAAGTCCACCTCTGTAGTTCCTGTTTTTAAGAATTCTGGAGAACTCTCTGACCCCTCAAATTATCACCCTATAAGTCTCTTACCTCTTTTTGACAATGTATTCAATACCAAACTAGTTAAGCATGACATCCATTTGGACAAACACTATGGGTTGTGTTTCACTAGGTCTACCACTGACATGTTAACGGCCATCTCTGAAGTTCTCTGTTAAGCTTTAGATAAGAATGGTAAAGCTGGCAGTGGCTCTAGATATCTCAAAGGCATTCAACAGGGTTTGGCATACTGGCCTTTGATGCAAGATCAAGGACTAGAGTGTCACAGAACATATATTTTGCTTAATCCAATTGTTCCAAATCAATAAAATAATAAAGGTTGTATTTGAATGAGCAAATTTACAAACCTTTCTTCACTGATGGAAATATTACAGGTGAAACATGTTAGACTATTGCTTAATTTTTTCCACAACTCTCCAAAATAGTTTTGAAAAAAAGTACATTTCAGTTGGCAGAGAATTTGGGGATAGAAAATTATTAAATCATTGGATTCAGATAACAGGACATTTAATTTGGTCAGCAAGATCTCTTAATATCACACCTACAGACATATTGTTTAGGGCCATGTTAAGAATTCTTTTTACAGCAGAAATTCTCAAATAATTCAGGATTTAAATAATTTCATTGAATAGGAGGAGTCAATTTCATTAACACTTGAAATGCTATTCAAAGTTTTCATGAAAGATTGAAAATGGTGGCTCATCTGTTGAGGACTATTCATTTTATTTATTGCATAAGTTATTAATAATAAAATTTTATATCTCATTCTGCTTTACTTCTATTTTTGCTTTCAAATGTGTTACTTTATTTACACTCTGTACAATATGCCACAGACGGTAGTTTAAAGTGGGATTAGGAAGCTGTTCAAATTCTTGGCTAGTCTGTTATATTCATTTTCACACTAATACCTTTGGGAAAGACATGAATCAGTATCTACTGAGCTATGAATTGAATAGTATAGTAGTCTAGGGATGGTAATCAGTTTCAAAAAACTCTGGAAGAGGTAGTGGGAAACCACTGCCAGTTTTCTTTCCCAAAATGCTTAGAAATTCACAGATAATAAAAAAGGAATCTGTAGAAAGTCATTGGTTCCTATATCCTGAAGAAACATGGCATTTAAAAAATAGAAATAAGAAAAAATATGTCAAGAAATTTTATATCTCTATTTAAATTGAAATACAAAAACTTAAAAACGGATACCAAATAATATGCATTTTCTTCCCTGAATAATGGTAGCTACAGATAGCATGAAGCCTAAGATGTTCTGAAATCATTATTTGATTATCTCCATCCAGGCATATTTGAAGACTGTCTACATTTGAGTTGTATTTGTTGGATGCAGTTGAAATGAATTTAGTGAGTTCTGTAACATGTCCCAGACATGGACAATAGGATTTAAATCTGGAGGGCATGAGGTTCAATTGAGTGTCAAAAAGTCAACTGATGACTGGTTGAGTCATCTTACTGGAAGAGATAGTCATATCCAAGAAATATGGTGAGCATAAAAGGATGCAAATCATCTATTAACAAGATTTTGATATGCCATATCTGTCAAGGCAGATACTTGTTTCATTATTGATCTTTACAAGCTCTCAAAGAATATACCATTGACATTACTTGCACAACACCCTTGTGATAAATTGGATTCATACTCTGATGTGCTCTCCTCCACACACAAACCTGTCTGGCTGCCTGAAATAGCTGGATATTTAACTTGTATAACCAGGTGACATGGTGTTAATCTTCTACTGTCATATGGTAATATTCTCTAGCCCACATGAGGTACTGTAACTGATGTCATAGTGTCAATAGTGATATCATTTTTGATTAGCAGCTATAAAAACCACATGGAATAGTGTACCCTGTAAAATACATTGTCTAATGGTTTAAGTAGAACTACCATTGAATTGGGGTTTGATTTGATGCAATGTTCTCTTTAGTTGGATAGTGGCCATCTTTGTCTTATTCTTGCATCACCTATGTATATCTACAATTTTCATATGCTGTTGATGTCTTCCTGTAAACCTATTTTCCTCTTTATAATTCTTCTTGTATATTTAAAATTTTATCATATTCATACAGTCAATCCAAAAAGAGCATTTCCCTTTAAAATTACTTGATGGCACTTGTTCAATGAATATAGATAATTTTGTTTGTTCATATAATACAATCAACTAAAAATAAATTCATTAATCATTAGAATTTTGGATCTCTTTTGAGTAAACACTGGATTAACAATTCATTAAATTTTAAAGAATCATCAATTTCTGACTCTTGGAATCCTGTTCAAAACACTGATTTTGTTTTCATCATTAACTTCATTACACTTTTTCCAGTTTTGCTTTTGCATTCTTTCCACTTACTCTGTATTTTGCATTCTATTTATTTTCCACTTACAAATATTTATATTTTGATAATGATGTGAATAGGCATCAAAATATAAACAAAATTAAAACATTTCTTGTTTGTTCCTTTGATATGGATTATTTTCTGGCCTTCTGTTTTTTTTTTCCTAAATGTTCATTTTATTTGTTTTATACAGTTTAATATTTATTTTATCTCTTCTTTGCTATTTAGCTTCCAACTCTACTCTGACAGCTTCATGTACACCTAGTGACCTCAACCTTATAAATGGCCTGAATTCCAATGCAGAGTATCCAGCATCTGGCACCAAATGTAACCTGGAGTTACTTCATGGACTAGAACCATCACAACCATTGACTGTGGACTCAATCAGTTCTGCTTATGCCTCTGATGAGGTATTCCTGAAACCACAAACAAATAAAAGTAAGCATTATTTATTTCTGTATTCCAGTATTTATATCTGTTAACCTTTCATCCTATCAATTTATTATTGGTGTCAACAACTAAACAATACCAACATTTTTTTATAATGAATGCTAAATATTTCAGGTGCTTTATTATATTTAACTGTGTGCCAATAAGTCTGTTATCCTGCTTACATGGTTTAAAAGCTTATTTTTTATGTCTTTACCCATTTTATTTTAATTTTTAACTTTGCTATTAAAACGCTAACTCTAGATAACCATTTCTAGAAAATACTTCAATTAATAGTGGCTCTTGGTTTGTCTTCACATGATTTAATTTAGGAAAGCAGCGTATTCTTTAAATGGAAGGTCTGAATTGACAATTCCACCATGCCCCTCCCCAAGACCATTCAGCCTCAAAGTTAATTGTTCCTACTTCCAAAGTTGTTGTCACCAAATATTTCTTGAGTCAATATTCATTCAAGAACCCACTAGATGACTTTGCCAGTCTTAATGCATATTGGCATCAGTGAAATTAAAACTTTTATTTTTTGTAATTTTCTTATATGTAACTTGTTTTTTGTCCTTTGCACTTTTCTATGCTATCCTATTTCCAAATCTTATTATTTTTTTCTCTTCCTTCATTGTTATAATTTTCTCTTAATACTTGCCTCAGCATGTATGTACATACATGTGTGTGTGTGTGTATATATATATATATATATATATAATGTGTGTGTGTGTGTGTGTGTGTGTGTATATATATATATATATATATATATATATATATAAACTTACATGCATGTATTAATTTATTGTTTATTCTCAATATTACATTTTAATGTGAGACTATCCTTGAGTCGTAAAAACTGAATGGGATGTTTAAGCTTGACGTTTTTCTAGCAAAGTAGATATTGGGACTTTTGCTAAGTTAAAACTTAAACTTAAATTTTAATTTGCTTCATTCAACTGCTATGTTATATATTATTTCAAGTGCCATTCATTAATGGCTGATCAGTTGTTTTTGGTATCTGGGAAGAATTCTAATTCCTTTGACAGAAGCCAAATGAATAGTATTTAGATTGTTAAGAAAATTATCCCTTCACCCCTAGGACCATCACCACTCATCTCAAGTGAGAGATAGTCGTATGCTTTTGGCCATGAAAATCAGAAAAATTAATTTCAGAGTCACCATAATTGTACCAAAGCCTGCTCTCTCTGTACAATGTCCAATTTAAATATTGGAAAGAAGCAATTGATGCATTTCCTGTAAGATTCTAGGGATAGACCCCCTACTACCTATTACCTCATCTCCCCCTTTGATATACTAGAAAGTCAGTTAAACATCACATGGTCAAAAAGTTCTGTGGGCCACAGATTGACTCTCCAAATAAGTTATCTGAAAGTGCATTCTTTGAAATAACTGGAAGTCAACCTCAGAACTGTGTTTTTCTGGGGTTTTTTTTTTGGTTTTTTTTCTTTTTTAAAGTTCTTTCAGCAGTAGTTCTCACATAGACATCTTAATTTTAACTAAGTTAAAAATTAGTAACTTACCTTTTTTTTTTTTTTTAATTAGGAGTAGATAGTCTTTCCTATAACCAGTTCATACTCTGCCTCCTTCTTTTGAACAAGAGTAGAGGCTCGTTCCTTGTTTCCTGTTTAAGAAGAGGTTCCTGATTCCTTCCCTTTTCTCAGGCCTTAATAGTGGTGCTGTCATGAAGTTTTTGTGATATGTGAAATGGTAGCAATGTCTCTTTATACTGAGGGTACCAAGCTGACAATCTTCTGGTTGCTGTTCCCAACTGGTAGTTAAGAGTGCAAACTCTTGTGTAGCATCTTGAGAAGCTGCTCTGATCAATAGTCACATAATATCAGGGTTTTTACAGGGCCATGTTGTGCATGGAAGGGTGTCACTGCAAGCACCTTTCGTGAGTAACCCCAAGGCCACACAATGTTGCAGTCTGTGCCAGTTTCATTCCCACACAAGTTACATTAGATGATTGACTACCACTACTACCCTAGGTCTATCCTTACCAAAATAACAAACCATGACTATAAGCAACCAAAGATATAAAACTAAACCAGCTCAATAAAAAAATCTTCAATCTTTCTTTCTCCAACACTCGTGGTATTCATGCTAACTTCTGCAGTGTGGAATCATTCCTCTTCAAAAAGCTAGCTCTCTGTGAAACTAATCTTAACTCTTAAATTTTCTCCTCTAATTTCTTGATTCCTGGCTATCTTCCTCTCCTTTGGAAGAACTCTAATGTCCACATGAATGGCCTGGGAGTTTATGTCCACAAACATCTCCTACTGGCTAAGGAACTTTCTCTCTTCAATCTTCAGATCATTCTTACATGTGTCTCCATCTCTCACTCAACTAAACTCGGTCTCTTCTTTCTCTACCCTTCCACTTACTCCCATAACATTTGTGTGCTAGATAGCATTTCTGATAATATAGCCAAGGCCATCTCCCTACACTCATTTGCAAATATATTTGTGTTCGGTGACTTTAATGGCCACCATGCCAGATGGCTTAAACACTTTGTCACTGACCTTGCTGGTATCCAAACCCTGAACTTCTCAATCTTTCATGCAAGGTGGACTTTCCCCACATGTTTCCCCAATAACCCTGACAGACATGCTTCTCTTTTAGATCTCTTTTTTTACCTCTTTCCCTGACTCATGTTGTGTAGCTCTGCCCTCATGGCAATTCTAATCATGCAGTAGTGTCTCTAAACATCTCTTTCCACTTCTCCACCAGCCAAAAACCTCCTACCAACAGAATATCTTTCTGTTATCAATGAGCAGGTTGGCTGTCCTGGGTATGATGATAAACTACAACTGCATCCTGAGTAAGACAATAAACTATGTCCAACAGAAAGGCCTCTGATTTCAATACAATTTTTGAAAAAAAATATTACCAGCAATACATTTAAAAAAAAAAAAATATTACAATCAATACATTTTTTTTTTTTTGGGGTATATTACCAACTATACATTTTTGAAAAAAATATTACCAGCAATACATTTTTGAAAAAAAAAAAAAATATTGCCAGCATATAAAATTTTGTCAGCATTAAAAAAAAAAATCCCATTGAGGTTGATATGCCATAAAACAAACCAAACCAAATGAGCAGGTTGGGACTCATTCTTTGATTTCCAATGTGGCATCCTTTGGAATAAAATTTTAAATCATCTTGTTCAAAAATGTGTGTCTGAGGTTTCTTCCTGGGTGAAAGCTGACATCGATGTTTTCCATTTCAGCAAAGAAATACCAAGTTAAATCATGTTCATCTTCTTGGTTCTCACCTGCATGCTCAGCCACTATAGTGCACAAGAATTACTTCTTTGGGCTGTACCAGAACAACACATCTGATTCCAGCAGACATCTTTGTCTCTGCTTGTAATCCTCAAAAAAAGTGCAGTTATTGTTTGCTGATAGAATGAAACAACATATAGCATCTTGCAAGTTCGGTTCCATAGATTATTGGTGGCTCTGCAAGAGTGTGTTGAACAATAGCAAATTCTCAATCCTTCCTCTATTCAATCAATTCAAAGTCCTGATATCTACAACAGAAAAGGTTAAATGCTTTGCTTGGAAATTCTCTTCCAACTCAACACTTGACTTATTTAGCATACCCACATCTGATTTTCCCACAAGAACAGAGGCTCTACTGAGTTATATGTGCATAACCCCATCACTCCTGTTTTTAAGAACTCTGGAGAACCTTCTTACCTCTCTAACTATTGCCCTATTAGTCTCCTCCTGCTTTTCAGCAAAGTATTCAAGGCTTTAATCAATACTGAAGTGGTTAAGAATTTTACATCTCACAAACTACTCTCTGACAAAGAATATGCCTTCAGTTTTGCCAGGTCTACTGCTGATGAGATAATAGCCATCACTGAATCATATATATCATGCTCTTGATAATAATGGGAAAGCTCAAGCTATGGCTCTAGATATTTCAAAGGTGTTTGACAGAGTTTGGTCTTCTTGTGACACTATTTAGTGCTGGTAAATGGAAAGTAAGGGTTAATAAATAGAATGAAGGACAGACCGTGAGAAAGAATGAAGATTTCTCTTTTCAAAAGGCTTAATTCTCAAAAACCAGAAGAATTACTTAAAGCAATATTGTCACAAGAGGCCATGTGGTAATCTTTTGACAACTGATTGATGGCCCAGCCCTAGAAGTACTGATCACAAAAACCGAAATGAGTGGAATGGGTAAGATTTGATCTGTAACCAAAAGTCAAGGAGAACCATCTGGTCGGTGTTTGATTTTGAACAAAATAAACAGGTATGAGAAATTTTGCATCTCAACTACCTTTCACCATTTGAAGACACTTGAACTCATTTCCCAAATTGACATGTGTGTGTGCCACATTCTCTGGCATAACAAAACAAGCTTGATCATGTTTATGCAGTGATTTCTTTGTTATGCTACAAAAAGGAATTTGTAGAACCCGTGGCTAAAGTGAGTTTGCATCCAATAAAGGTGTTGCTGTCTGTTTGGTGGCTTTACAGAGAAATAATTCACTTTGAGATTCTTCTAACCAGTGAAACAGTAACTGCAACAAAGTATTGTGACCAACTCACTAATCTCAAGAAAAATGGCCAATTTTTTAAATTGAAAAGGTGGCATTTTCCACCATGTCAACACAAGACAGCATGTTGCAAAAGAGACCTTGCAGGAGTTTAGTTGAAATGGAGAAACTCTTCAGTAACCAACATATTCTTATAATAACTTGATTCCTTAAGATTTTCAATTGTTCCGGTCTCTATAGAACAGAGTTTAAATGATAAAAAATTTGACTCTGTACAGTCAGTTGAAAACTATCTCATAACCTTCGTCCAACAAAACAGTTTCTAGAAAAATGGGAGACACTTGTTAAAAATAATTATGTTTATTAGTCAATAAATGTTTTGTTGTTAGTATCATTTTGTTTTTAATTTTCTAATTGGGCACAAACTTTTGCAATGATCTAATAGTTGCTAGTTAACTTCAGGTCCATTTT